TGGGGCGTCGGGCAATTATGCTCGTCGCTCCACGATGGAGGGAAGTTAACTGTATGCTGAGGCGCTGAAAGAGTGGCTGGGTGACATCGTCACTGTTCGCCTAGCGACGGGGACGCGTGTCACGGTCCTGAAGGTCCATGTGGACCTCGGAGTCAAGTTTCTTGACTTTGATAGCGTGGAACGCTGTCTAGGCTTAAACTTGAATGCAAGGTGTGACCTCATCCGAGGAGTGGCATGGTTGGAACACCATGAGCCATGGACTGATTGGAGGTCAAAGACCTTGGCGCTACGCCTACGGCTCCTGGTGGAGCTTTGGCGAGTCATAAACCCACCTCTACTATAAGAAAAAAGCGCTTTTGGCGAGAGCACTGGACCGAGACGGTCAACGTGCTAGACATTGCAATGTCCGAGTTGGTAGACACCAATGGTGCATTGGACAGGAGTCCCGAGCGTAGCTCGCGGGCTGATCGTGGAGTGGGACGTAACCCACTGAGCGCTGCTCAAGGTTTGGAGCAGTCGCTGCATGTCATGCGTGACATGGTCGACTAAGGGCCGTGGCATCGAGGGCGGGGCCCCCGTGATGTACGTGAAGTGGCACGTAAACCACTGAGCGCTGCTCGTGTATCAAAGCAGTCGCTGCATGTCATGCGTGACATGGTCAGACAGGGTCCGAAGCATTTTGGACACGGCCCTTCAGACGCGCGTGGAGTGACACGTTATCCACTGGTCGAAAACTGCGGGGTTAGCGTTCTTCGCCGGATGTTGTAGATAACATCGGAGCTCTAAAGGAGCGGAAAGTGAGGGTGACACCGACAACGCTGAGTGCGTGTTCACCCTAGTTTCACCGAGACATAGCACCTCTGTGCAGAGGCGACGGCGACGCCGTATGCTGGCTGCAAGACGCCGGGTGTCGATCCTAATCCAGGGGGTGTCTACCGTAGACGACGGTGCGCAGTTATACACCCTCGTCAATGGTACGACGGGGGAGGAAGATGGCGACGTTCGCCTCGAGGCTATCTATGCCTGCAGTGGCCGCTCTTCTTGGGCTGGGCGAGATGTCTCTTCAAGAGTTCGACAGTGATCGAAGGCAGGCGATTTGGCCGAAGTAGCCATAGTACGACCGGACGAGGAGATAAACTCGTCATCGCTCCTGGATGAAGCTGTCTTGAAAGACACCAAGAGAGTGCTGAACGCACGGAGTATATCGTCAATCCTACGGAATACCTTGGATCAGTACTATCCTTTGGCAAAAGAATTTCAAGACGTCGTCTCCAAAGACCCGCCTTCGGTACTACCTCCGGACCGAGGTGCGCGTCATGAGATCGACCTGTTTCCGGGAATAAAATACTGTGTATCATCCAATGACCCCTACCCAAAGAGCAGTGCGACGTCATTGACGCCCTTTTTTGTGCAAAGCACGGCACAGGGATGGTGCGTGAGAGCAAGTCACGCACCCCCACGTTTTGTGTTCGGAAGCCGAACGGCAAGTGGCGTATCTTTCATGCTTATAACAAACTCAACGCTGCCACCATTCCGGCACAGATGCCAATTCCTAGAAAGGATGTCCTTCAGAACTACATGGTGGGATGTTCGAAGTACAGTGCGCTCGATTTGGTAGATGGATACTACCTATTGCTAATGAGAACAAGTGACATTCCGCTGACAGCGATAATCGCTCCGAGCGGCATTCTCTGGGAGTGGCTGGTGATGCCCCAAGGGCTGTCAAATTAACCAGCATTGTTTAATCGTCTTATGACGAAGTTGTTCAGGCCCAACAGGGCGTATGCACAGAGATACTTTGACGAGAGTTTCGTCACAGTCGGGAGAACGGATTAGGAGAACCAAATCGTCCATCTAAGAGCGGTGCTCGAGTGCAAGCGCACTAACAAACTGTACGCCAATGCAGACAAGTTCATCTTTGGCGCAGAAGAGATTTCCCTTTTTAAAGTGCTTCTTTGGGAAGCGTGGCCTTCGAGCGAATCCCGCTTAGGTCAAGGCCATTATAGATTGGCCTGTTCCGAAGACTCAAAAGGACTTGCGCAAGTGGCTTGGTCTTGCCAATTACTTACACGAGTACAGCGTAAATTACGCAGAAATGGCCCGGCCGTTATCCAATCTCCTTAAAAGGATGCGGAATGGTGTTGGAACACTGAAAATCAGGAGACTTTTGGCGGGGTCAAGGACAGCCTCCTGCATGCACCAATACTGGCTTTGCTAGACTTTAATCGTCCTTTCAGCGTCGTCTGTGACGCTTCGGACTTCGCCATCGGCTGTGCTTTGCTGCAAACAGACGCCAAAGGGCGAGATCGGGTAATCGCGTTCGAATTTCGACAGCTCAAAGCTGCAGAGAAGAACTACCCAGTTCATGACAAGGGGTTACTTGCGATGAAGTATGCACTTGTCAAGTTCATGGTCCACCTGCTCGGTTCCAAGCCGTTTGTGATCTATACAGATCATGCGTCACTACGCACTGAGACTCAGTTGCCCCACCTATCACAGAGGATGGCTAGATGGCTATCCTTCTTTGCGAAATATAACTTCAAGGTGAACTATAAGCCGTGAAAGCAGAATGCTTTGACTAACGTTTTGTTTCGCAGACCAGACTTTGAGCTTGCTCATGGTTCGACGAACCTTTACGCGCCTTTCCCAAGGGACAACTCGTCCGAAGGTGACGGGTGTCTGCACAAACAAAAAATCATCGGCTGCTTACACACTGCTCAGCAGGGTCACGCCAGTGCGGAGGTCCTCCATAAAGATGGTCACTACGACCGCCTCGGGGAGAGGATCTGCTGCCATCCCGGTAATTGCAGTTCTCAATTCTTGGATAAAGTCCACCAACCCCTTTTTACCCTGTCGGGTAGCAAGAAAACGCGATAGCGCGCAATATGCCTGATTAGGCGGCGAGAACACTCGCAGAAGCTGAAAATACAGCTCCTTATAGTAGGGGAACGCAGCTTCAACCGAAGCACCGCACGTTTATGCCCATACTCGCGCTCGACCCGCGAGCTTGGAGATGGCTTGCGCCGCACGCTATTGCTCATTTTGGAGCATGGCGGATGCCATAGCCATCTCGACCTCTCTCACCCAGAGAAGAAAATTCTCTCCATCCCTACTCCAAAGATCTTAACGCTCACCATGAAAGGCCTGGGTCGGAAGGAATCATCCGTTGTCGACGGTGGCGTCTTAGAAGCTATTGACGCCAACAGCTTCTGCTGTAAGTGCTTTAACAGAGCATTTTCGTAATCTGAAAATTCCTCTAGGCGCGCGCTTATCGTCTTGAGCCCTTGCGCAACAAGGTTCTTCACGCCCCCAGCGCCTTGCAGAGACATCAGCCTTTCCTACATGCCATTGTGCAAATAGGAGTCTTCTTCCATCCTCACAGAGATACAGTCATAACGGCTCAAGCGAAGATCAACTCCGAGTGCTACCAATTGCTGCGAAGCTACCGTAGCGCTTTGCTGGAGGAAGCTACGCTAAGCTTACCGACCTTATAATCCTTACAAGAACCAGTACGAGTGTAGGGGATCGCAATGCGCAACTCCATGTACTTAAGAGCTTAACCAAATCAAAGACGCTCTCTTACTTATAATTGAAACTGTATTTAATTGTTTGAGTCGTGGCAGGGCCGCTAATATTCTTCACATTAGGTTTTCCTGTTCAATAAAGTAACTTTATAATGTAAACCTAGTCAATATGCATTAGTACTGGCAATCCTACTACGTAGTGGCTTCTCGTTAAGGTGTAGCCACACCATTGTGTGATTACACTACCTTGTGTAATCTACACCTATGTACAATCACACCATCTTGTGCGACCCACCCTTTCATAGATTGGTGCGTGTAACCCAGTTACATACTGGTTCTGGTATAGAACGGAAGGTCAGTGACCTTGAAGCTTCCTATTTGCAAAGAGCTACGACAGCCCCGCTGCACTTGGCAGCACTTGTAGTCAATCTACGCCAGAGTCGTTACGACTGATCCTCTGTGAGGATGGATTAATTCTCATAATTGCCCAGTACGTGCAGGACGGGCTTAATAAGCTTATTTCCCTGCTTAGCTCAGAGGGTGTGCAACACATTGCTTCGCACGGACCTGGAGCGATCAGCGCGCGCTTAGAGGCGTTTTTAAATTATGAAAT